TTCAACAAAAAAGAAAGAAATATATAAGAGAGGGTAGAAAGATCAAGACAGAAAACTACTACAATACATAAGAGAGTAGAAAAATCAATTCTCTGTCAGTTCACAGCGGATCCAAACACGATTTAAAAGCTCTTTCTGTTGCGTTTTATCCGTACAATTATCTTTCAATACTTTGAACGCGACATCTTCCAAAGAGTAGTAGGTATAGTCGTTACAAGTGTTGAAAGTGGGGAAGAAAACTGCATTATCTACATTTACGTTCATGCCACAAATAGCAATTGATGAGGCTTCGCTAGTGAAAAGAAGCCAATTTTTTACTTCTTTTACTAATTTGACTCTTATGTTGCTTCCAAAATCTAGTTCATAAACATGAACATCATGTTGTGGTGTCACAACCACGGAATGTAGCACATTTTGATCCTGACGTTGAACTAAAAACAAACGGCAAGCACCAGAAATAGGAGGTGAATATAGTTGAGAAAGTTGATGTATAACCCAATAAGGGGTTCCGTCTTTCAAGATGCCAAATACACCAACATCACCGTGTTGGCTGATGACACAAAATTCTTCACCAAAGTAGACCGGACTAGAAGATGAAAGTAGGAATGGCACCTCACTGTCCCTTGTGATAGTAGTCCTAGAAGAATATGAAAAACTTATTTCATATGTGACATCGATCCATAGAAGATAATGAGAAATTGTAACTTTTTTATCTCAATTATGTGACCTTTTTTTAATTATCCTAAAAAGAATATGAAAAACTTATTTCTTTTATCTTAAAAATATTTTTTTTACAGTAATACAAATAATTAAAAAGTATTCTGTTTTTTCTTTATTTTATTTTTAAAAAAAATAGTGACAGATTAAATAGTGAGACAAAAATTAGGACGGAGAGTGTTACAATTTAATAATAGTTAAAACAAATGAATGTTCAAAGAATCACGTCAATAGTGACTTGAGGCGGCTCTTATCATTTAAGCGAATAGTTGCATAATGTGACATGTTAATCTTTGTCTTTAATTCACAACCTACGTAATCTCATAGACTCATACTAATTTATTTTATTTTTTAAAAAATAGAGCAATCCATTTAACTCTTTAATTTCTTGACGTAAAATTGCAGACTATTCAATTTTTCTCCACTATTTAAACCCATCCTAACTATTCCATAATTCTCACCAAAACACAAAATGGAATATTCCAATATTGCCTTAGTTATTTGTTTAATTACCTTTGCTATATTTCCTTTCATATCCGAAGCTCAAAATACTCCCCAAGATTATGTTAACGCTCACAATGAAGCTCGTAGACAAGTTGGTGTTGGGCCTATGACATGGGACAATAGGCTAGCTACCTTTGCCCAAAATTATGCTAATCAAAGAGCTGGGGACTGTAGGATGCAGCATTCAGGTGGTCCTTACGGCGAAAACCTAGCCTCTGCATTTCCCCAGCTCAACGCGGCTGGTGCCGTGCAGCAGTGGGTCAATGAGAGGCAATGATACAATTATAATTCGAATACTTGTCAAGCTGGTAGAGTATGTGGACATTATACTCAGGTGATGTGGCGTAACTCGATACGTGTTGGTTGTGTTAGGGTCAAATGCAAAACGGGTGGTATTTTATAACTTGCAATTATGATCCACGTGGTAATATGAGCGGTCAACGTCCATTCCTTGTTGAAGAGCAACCAGACTTCGATTCCAACTTGGAACTTCCAACTGATGTCTCAATAAATTAAGCTTCATGTTTTAATTAAGGAAAATAAATCCAGTAGTACTATGATATGCATGCTGGAGTTTATATGAAAATTAAATAAATATATATGGATCATTTAATTAGTTGCCTCTGTTGAATTTATTTATTCACCCATCCCATATTATTTGACACAATTCCCTTTCGAACCTCTTAAAAAAAATCAACCGATAACAAGTATTTTAACTAATTTACGTTTATCTCTCTTCAATGAGCATACACCCTATTTAAGAGAATAAGACTAAGCTAATTTTATTGATATTAGTATTTAGTAGAATAATCACTTGTTTGATATATCATCAAATATATAATCTCTATGATACGTATCAGAATTGGTTAACTTCTTAATATAAGGGGCAAAATGGGATAAATTACAGCAATTAAATTTTAATTTTATTTTATAAAACTATAAGTACTCCCCTCAATTCATTTTACTTATTATGTTTTTCGTTTGGATGCGCCTTTTAAAAAACATTAACTCCCTACAATTCACTTTACTTATCATGTTTTTCTTTTGAATGCGCCTCTTAAAAAAAATTAACCAAAAAGCCAAATTGACTTATATCTATTATCTTTATTTAATATTCTTGATCTCGATTTAATAGTTAATACTATTACTCTCACCACATAAATCTCTCTTCTTATTTTGGACCAATTATGTTTAGTAATCGCAACAATACATAAAAAAGAATCATTTACATATACATACAATATATTTTTCGACAAAAATCCATCTTTTTTATCTTTACTATTTGTACTTTTACCATGATATAGTAAGAAATTATCGTGTGGCCATCCAATTTTTCGTGGCAGGATTACTGACATCATGCATGTAAGTGTGTATTTGTTTGACATTGTAACTAATGGGGAAAATACATAAAAACCCCCCCGAACTTGGCACGAAAATTTACTTTAGTACTTAAACTACACGGGTGTTTATATACCCCCTTTAACATCTTTTATGTGAATTATTTTCAACCCTCCGAACACCAACCCAGTTGCGCGTGTTGTTACAGCTTAGAATGACGCGTTAGTCATCTTTTAACATTTTTTAAAAATTAAATTTACCCCTCCAACGGTAATATCCGACCCATTACCCATTTGAAGAACAATCTTCACTTTTGAAGAACCCTAAATACCTCTTCTCCCTCACCAACCCAATCATCCAAAAAATGGCGACTTAATTCATTATTTTTCTCAAATCTTAGCTCTTCAAACCTAAAAGTTGAGTGTTTAAAGGAATTGTTCTTCAAAATGTAAGATTCAAACCTAAAAGTTGAATCTTTGAAGGAAGTGTTCTTCAAAATGTAAGATTCAAACCTACTCTTCTTCATCTATTATTTTGATTTTTCTTTCCTCCCTTTTTCTTATTTTCTGTTTTTTCCAGATTCTCGTTAATTCTTGCACAAAATTGTAGCACACAATGCGATCAATTAATTTGACAAATCTTTGTATGGAAGAAGATGATTATACTACGAAGAAAAAAGTTTATTGTAATCATGGACTTGTGGTGCGTTTGAAAACATCTTGGACTTCAAATAACCCCGGAAGAAGATATTGGTCATGTCCTTATTATGGGGTAAAGATCATTTTTGTTTAAATTTTTTTAGCCGATTAAGAATTTGATTAACCACTAATTCCTTCATCCTTTTTCATTATTGAAGAGTCCTAGATCTTGCAACTTTTGGTGTTGGAAGGATAAAGAAAATATTGATTCGAGGTCTAAATTTGTGATTCCTAAACTAATACAGAAATTGGGTGAGCTTGAGAATATAGTAGAATCCTCTCAAACCTCAGCCACTGCATTTGAATTGATTGAGGTTACTGAAGAAGTTGACAAGCCGGGAGATTTCAAACAAGATGATGATGGTCTAGGTATGAAATTGAAAATGTTGCAAGAAGAGGTTGAGAAGATGAAAGTGATGCAGAATAAATGGAGAAGAACATGGCAGAATGTTCTCTTTTTTGTTGTAGCTTGTTGTTGCGTTATGGTTATAGCTATAAGCTATTGGTTCTGGGTGATAAATATGAAGAAATGTTCAATGAAGTTACCTTAAGTTGTTGATGTAGTGAGATCCAATGTTGGTGTAGTGTAGCACTGTTTATGTTGTAACCAATTAGGTGCAAAACTCTTTTGTAATGAGTTTTCTTATTCTCTTAATGTAATTTGGTGGTTTGTGTATTTGTTTGTGTTTTATTTACAACTGCATTCGCTAAATTGCAGTCACAATTGCATAATTGTACACATAAAAGTAATGCAAAACTGGCTGCATAATTGTTTCAAAAAGAGACAACTAAAATATCAAACTAATGCAGTCACAACTGCATAATTGTTTCAAAAACAAACATAGATCAAACTATGCAGTCACAATTGCAACATAATTGTTTCAAAAACAAACAGATCAAACTAATGCAGTCACAGCTGCATAATTGTTCCAAAAACAGATAAAATATCAAACTAAAGCAGTCGCCATATCAAACTTCAGCAGCATTGGACCTTGTTCTCATTCTTTTGTTTTCTCTCATCTCTTGAAGACCTTGTTGAGTTACAGCAGCCTTTCCTTTCCATTTTAAGCCTGATCTTGGTTTATGATGCCCAAGATTTCCAGTCACTACTGAAGAGTTCATAGGCATTCCAGGCTAGATTCACAAAAATATGTTGTCTTAGATGCTTCATAAGTTAAAATTAAAAAGTGTGTAAATAATTAAGACAACTTACATTGTGGATTGTAAAACCACTTTGTGTATGTAGTATCCCCATTCCAACCATTCTTGGCCTCTTCCCTCTTCCAGTAGCACCAGGAACATCAGTAGCAGTAGCAACTACACTAGTTCTTCTTCCCCTTCCAGCTAAACCAGTTCCAGTTCCTTTTCCCCTTCCAGTGGCACCAGAACTATCAGCAGCAATACCAATCCCTGTTCCATTACCAGTTGCAGTTCCTCTTCCCCTTCCAGTAGCACTAGCCTATAACATAAGTTGATCAACAAAAATATTAGACTGATTAAGATGTAAATTAACAACTAAATGAATTACTATAAACATTACCTGTTTTGTAGAACCTCTTGGTCGACCTCTTCCTCTCTTTGTGCTTGATTGTGATTCAGTTAGTGCTCTAGAAGAACCAACACTTGACCTTGTTGAACTAGGCTCACATCCTTTCCCCATTCCTCTTCCTCTGCCTGCATTAGCTTGATTATTCAAATAACAACCCCTCTTATTATGACCCTTTGCATGACAAAGACTACAGGTCATCTCAACACCTCTCTTGGACAATTTTCCTGTTTTGTTTTCATTCTGCTCCTTTCTCCTACACTTTCTAGGCCTTCCTGGTAGTGTTTTTATAACAGGTGGAATAACAGAAGGGTTGGCCGACTGTGGCCATATTTTCATGTTAGTAACTGGTTGAATGTAGTGACTATAGACCTTGAGATAAGTCTCATTGCTATACCAATGTGCAACATAGTTAATGGGCTCCAATTTTCTAAAATGAAGTGCAGCTATAACATGACAACAAGGTATACCTCTTAGCATCCAAGATCTACAAGTACATGTTTGATTGCCTAGATTCACAACAAATGTGTTATCCCAGCTATCTTTAACCTCAAAACCATATTCACCATTCCATTCAAGGTTACGCTTCATTGACTTTGTTGTGTTCTCTGTCAATACCTTTAGGGCCATTGGAGATATGTTTGTTATCCAAGTATCACAGAACTCCCTCAATTGTCCTATTCTTCTCATCACTTTGATCCTTATTTCTTCAAGCATTGTGATGATAGTTTTGTGTCTTGGCCCCAAAATCCATGAATTAAAGCTTTCAGCCATGTTGTTGTCAACACTATCACAACAGCTAAAAAACTTAAAGTATAATTTAGACCACCTCTCTATATTGTACCACAATAAGTCATCACATATTCCAGTGCCTAACTTCTCCATATGATCCAAATTTCTTTTCAATTCTTGTTCATATGTAGATTTGGCACATCTCCAAAAACAATTTCTTCTTTCAATGCCTTTCCAATTCTTAGACCAGTTGGCTAGAACATGTCTTGCACACATTCTTTGTTCTGCATTTGGCAGAAGATCTTGAATAGCTTTGTCAACACCCTTTAAACAACAACATTTAGAATAACATGAGATCTAACTTAATGAATAAATTAAAAAGAAAATAAATGAATAAATAAAAAAGAAAACAAAAATACCTTCTGCATATCAGTAATGGTTGTCAATTCTGTTCCATCTCCTAGCTCAAGATCATGTCTTACAAGCTTGATAAACCATTTCCAAGTGAATGTGTTTTCAACCTCAACAACTGTCCATGCTAGTGGTAGCATTTGGTTGTTCCCATCCTTACAAACAGCCACAAGTAATTGACCTCTAGAAACACCTTTCAAGAAGCAACCATCAAATCCTATACATCTTCTAGCTCCAGCTTTGAATGCCTTCTTTAAAGCATCAAAACATATGTAAAATGATTGAAACATTTTTCTGTCACCTTCAAAAGTTTCTTCACTAAGTCTCACCACACATGTGCTGCCTGGATTAGTCTTTAAGAGCTCATCTCTATAATCTAAAATTCTTTTAAACTCCTCCACATGATCACCCATAATTTGTTTCAACACAATGTTTCTAGCTTTCCTTGCTACAGTCCTCCCTACATACACATTCAACTCTTTCTTCACTAAAATTTGAAACTGAAAAACTCTAATGTCAGGCTCAGAAATAATTCTGTCCTTGTACCTTTCTGATAAGTACTTTGAATTCACCAATTTATTTTTGGTTGTGCCATTGCATTTATGTACTGGATTATAATTCTTCACCACAAAATCTCCTGTTCTTGAATCAATACTTCCAAACAACAACCATGGACAACCAGCTGTACACTTTACCCTCACTCTAGTTGCATCATTAACATATTTATCTAATTCAACATGTTCTTGAACTGCATATCTAGTAATAGCTTCTCTAAATTGCTTAACACTTTCAAAAGCAAGACCAGTCTCCCAAACTATTACTTGACAGGTAGGATCAAATACAACTTTCTTTTTATTTCTTTTTGCTCTTCTTGCTTTTCTTTGTCTTCTTATAGGTTGTTCAACCTCATTTTCCTCATTAACATCTTCATCAGTATCTATTTCAAAACTAACAGCTTCATCTGAATCAAAGTAGGGCTCATCTCCAGCTATCTTACCCTCAAAAGTAGTTTGTTTCTTGGATAAATATTCATCATATCCCAAATCAACTCTTTTTTTTCCTAAATCAACTCCTTCAGATCTAGGGCCCTTTTCTTTTCTCTTTTTTATTTTAGCAGCCCTTTTCTCTTTCCTAAGATTTATAACCTCCTCATGAACATCACTACCATACTCATCTTCTCCTTCATCAGACAAATCTGCATTGTCTGAATCATCACTTGCTTCTGTTTCACTTTCCCAATCAGACCCAACTTCTGGAATATCAGATGCAGCAGCAGCAGAAGAAGTACCGCCCAAGTCTTCTCCAACACTAACAAAATCCCTACCCAAGTCCTTTCCAACACCAGCAGAAGCCCTACCCATGTCCTCTCCAACACTAGCAGAAGTCCTACCCAACTCTTCACCCACAATAGGTTCTTCAGGTTGTGCAGGTTGTGCAGCCTCTTCAAATCCTAAACCTTTACTACTCTCAAAAGTTTGACTAGATTCCTTATCAAAAGTAGTACTAGATTCCCCACCCACATCATTTAGATATCCAATTTCGGGGGGCGGGGGGGGGGGGGGGGCACAACAGTTTCTTCAACTAAATGAGTTACATAAAGTTCAACAATATCTCCATTTTTTAATTTATGTACAATACCCATAGTATCCCTATCACTTTTAACTTCAACAACACGTCGACATAGGTGGTTTAATATAAACAACACAAGCAGAACAGTTATAGCCAATTTCTTTAACTATATCAACAAATTCAAAGTAGGACAATTTATCAACATCTACATCAAAACAATCAGTGACAATACCTCCTTCATACTTAATACGAGGTTTTTGTTGTAGTTTTCCACCATGGTGAAACCTTAAGGTAACGTACACATCCATCGTCAAACTGAAAAGATAAAAAAAAACTAAGCTTTACGAAAACCCTAAACTCGGTCAAATATTACAATGATCTAAACGAAGATTACTAACCTGGTAACTTTGTTTCTGTACGCAAATCCTTTGTTTCTTCACGAAAATCCTAAACTCAGCAAATCCTTCACGCTAATGACTTGTTATTCTTTAGATTAGGTCTTTAGATTTGAGAGAGATTTAGGGATATTTGTTTAAAAATGGGTTGGGTTGTATTTTGGGAACGGGTGGGTTATATAAAACGGGTAAGATATTTTTAAAACCCTTTGCGACGTGGACCAATGAAAACACGCGTGGGTAACAATGCCCAGCCTTCAACTGGGTTGGTGTTCGGAGGGTTGAAAATAATTCACATAAAAGATGTTAAGGGGGGTATATAAACACCCGTGTAGTTTAAGTACTAAAGTAAGTTTTCGTGCCAAGTTCAGGGGGGTTTTTATGTATTTTCCCGAACTAATGTAATGGGATAGTATTAAGAAAAAGAAGAGTAAAACAATTAATCAATTTGCTAGTGGTTCGGATAATACATGAATGGTTGTAGTAAATAGAGTAGAGGCCAACTCAAATTTATTTGTCTAATAAATCTAAAGAGCTAAACTTAAGCAATACGTGATTAATATATTACTTCTTTTGGTGAAGGGGTTATGATACCCAAATAATTAATTATTGCAATACATGCATGGTGCCCTAGCTGCTACTTGAAACATATTCATTTAACTATAAAATAAAATATTATATATATACTATTAAAAGATGTTAGATGAAAGAAAAAAATGTTAATGGTAAAATAGACTTTGCATAGGATCAGGGGTGAGGGGGAGAATGATTATTTTTAAAGTTGAGGGGAGAGTTTGATTTTTAAATCAAAGTTGAGGGTTGTATTATTTACTTCTTCCATTTCATATTACTTGTCTCATGTTGACCTGATACTCCCTTGAAAAAGCTTTAATTAGCTATATATTTTACTAAACTAACTTTATTAATGAGCTGATTTGAAACTCTAAATTTGACTATTACTATTTTTATCTTTTACATTGTCGATGTATACATTGTTTAAATACTTAATTAAAATAGTATCTTAAGGTTAAAGCTTTTACAAGGGAGATGTATAACAGTTGCTTTAAAACGCTAAACTTCTTTTCACTTTCCACATGCAAAATTCCTAATTTCACGAAGCAAAATACTGACATTTTCCACCTATATATATATCCAACAGCAACATATCCAAATCTTTCTCATCACCTCTTCAAATTAAAAATGGCATTATTCAAAGCTTCTAATGTTCTAATTTGTTTCATCATTTTGGCATTTGTTTTACCTTATTGTCATGCCCAAAATTCCCAAACAGACTATCTCAACACTCATAATTCAGCTCGATCTCAAGTAACTGGTGTTAGTGCAATAACATGGAACACAACTCTTGAAAATTATGCACAAACTTATGCCAATCAAAGAATTAGTGATTGCAATCTTGTCCACTCTAATGGTCCTTACGGCGAAAATATTGCTAAGGGAAGTGGTTCTTTCATGACCGGCACTGCTGCTGTTAACTTGTGGGTGGGCGAAAAACCGTACTATGATTATAATAGTAATAGTTGCACTGGTGGAAAAGAATGTCGACATTATACTCAAGTAGTCTGGAAAAACTCGATTCAACTTGGTTGTGCTAGAGTTCAGTGTACCAACGGCTGGTGGTTTGTTACATGCAACTATAATCCTCCAGGCAATTACATTGGTCAACGCCCATACTAATTATTTTGACTAACATCAAATTTTATAATCAAATAACAAAACTAGTAGTATTTGCTACGTACTTTATAGAGGTTTGCATGATCTCTATATTTACGTTGCATTTTAGTTTCGTTGCACCAATAAATTACACGAATTATTTTCTTGTACTTGTTGTTTGAGATTGTTTTATGTATGACATATTTGGTCATTCCTTTAAAGGATGACCTGCTGCATCAAAATATAACTTTTTGATTTTAAGTTATACATATCATTAAGGTAAGAAAAATTTATTATTGTGTTTTGTTATGGTAGGTTATATAATTCTGCGATTGCAAAATCCACATCTAAAAAAAAACTTATATGTGAATTTATAACCGATAATGTAAACTAATAAAGCTAGTTGCTCCCAACCCTCCCCTACCCCCCCCCCCCCCCAAAAAAAAAAGAAAAGGATTTCCTTCATTAGATGCCAGCAAAAACATTCTTGAAATCACTTATAAAGATGAAAAGAGGAAAGTGTGCATTACACGAAATTAGGAAAAGCTGATGTACTTATAAAAGTAAAAATCATCACTTTGCTTCATAGAATAAAGATACTTTGATCCAAGGACATTCATAAACTTTTTGATTTAATGCAAAGAACAAACATAAGAGTACATAAAGTAAAAAAGAAAAGAATCTTTTCTTATTATGCATAGTCGCAAGAGACGTTAAATTTAGCCCATAAAAATATAAAAATATGACGTAACTTGTCCAATTTGATTAATACTTTGGTAGAGAGCACTCTATGGGCATATTATTTTGGAACCGTTGATTATCCATACAATAATCATATGTCAAATGATACTTTCTAACCCATTTAAACAATCTTCTTTGTGTCCATGTCAAAGTACTAGATTGCCCCTTATTCCACCAATGATTTTCACTTTCTACTCTGCAAAATCTTGCATTCCCTTTCCAAACACAAGCATCAATTTTGTAATTTCCTAATGTGGCCACAAAGGGTGCTTTTGACCAATCAATTTTTGTTTTTCCACCATCTGTTGCCCAATCTTCTCCATTCCATATGCTCATTTTGAGTTCCATTGGCTGCCAATGAGGATATTTAGCTCCTTTATCTGCATGGTTTCTGTATGTTCTAATAGGTACCCAATCTACCATGAACCTGCCCAAAAATCGAAAATGAGTTGCACGTGTGATGGCATCTATGAAGCATATGAGATGCACACAAAAATTATTGTACTTTTATTGGATATATTTAAGAACTCTTATTAAAATTTGACGTTAAACCGTGATATGAATTTAAAAGATCAAATGGCTTACACAATTTGGTGAAGGTTCCATAGAATAGAATAAGTGTGGTAGTCTTGTGTTGGATCAAACCACAAATTGATTCTCTGTTCTCTATCGTCAAATCCATCAACATAAACATTCGTTTGAAGAGTATAAGGTTTTCCAGCTACATTCCCCAGAAATTCAAAATCTACTTCATCGCGATTCGGTTGACCCGAAGCTAACTGCATATATACGTAATTCCAAATTCATCAAAAAATTTAAGAAATATATATTTGATAATTAATCATTTTTATGCTTACATAGAATGCTACAACAGTGCCTGCTGAATTTCCTGGTATCAACTTAATTTTCATGTCGAATTGACCAAATAAGTACATATCCTTTGAAGCAATCTCTGTACCTGTTAATCAAACGAAAAGTATTCATCAAATTAACATTGTGTTCATAGCCAAAATAAATAAATATATAATTTGCGTTTGAATTAATTAATAATTACCAGATTCCTTGTCAAATATCAAGCTTCTTGTACGGCCATCAACAGAAGTGTTTATATGGTTCGGTGAATATGTTACGTAGAAATCCTTATTATAATCTCCTGTAGAAACTATAGAAGCTAATGCAATATGAGATAAGTAAATAAAATAAGTGACCAAGAAAATAAATCTAGAGAAATGATTCATTTTTTTCTTGGAGAATATATCAAGATTTGAGGATGAAGAAATAGATAGGGATAATTGAAAATATATATATATAGGTGGAATTGCATGGGAATTAAGCTAGTGAGACAAGAAAGAGGAGAACCCATAAGAGTTTTGTTTAAGCAAGAATATCTTTAATACGAAGCAAAGGATATGCTAGCTATTATCAAAAGCGGATTAATAAAATTTGTGGCCTAAAACTAAATCTGGCTAGATGTATATTTTGAGAATAAAGTCATGAAGCTGCCTTTGATCAATATTTGTTTAAATTCGAATATTGAGGGTAACTACTAATTAGTCTTAATATTTGTTACTAATCTTTTTCCAAGGACTTCACTCTCCCCTTCGTCGTATATTTTGTGTTGAGCCCAACATGATTTTCAAGCCCGGCCCAGTCCAGTTGAAGAAAGATGAGAAAATTCTTGGGCCCAAGTCCTTTTAAAAGATGGAAAAAATTATGCGAAATGACAAACATTTACGGTATATTATTTAATTTAGCTATAGTTTCGGATATTTATGATTCGCAGCTACGGTTAATTCTTAAATATTACTATTTATGATTCAGTTCCTAATTGTATAAATCCAAAATGCGTATCCGATTGTATAAAATCATAATTTGTATATTCTTACCCTATCTATTTGTATATGATTTGTTGATACATTTGATTTGTATATGTTAAAGAAAAATCGTAATAAATTACCATGTTTATATATTGGCAAGCGAAATATACAAATGGAGTTCTAAATAATTTCTAAATGTATAGATACATAATGTGTATATGCTTACCATGTTTGTATATTCGCAAGTGATATATACAAACGAAAGTAGTCATAACAAACGAAACTATAGGTATGGAGCGTAATTAAGCAAATTGTAGCTAAGGAGACTTATTAAGTTTAATCTCTTTCCTATTTATGAGATTTTCTCTATTGTTTAACGTGACTCATAATAAACATTTGAAAACATGCGCAAAAATTCTTCTAAATATTTGAGGTGAAAGTTTTTAATATAAACACTTTGTCACGTGCATGTGCTCAATTGAAAGATCCTAGTTCAATAATCTAAATAAATTCATTAACAAATTAACAGGTAGGGCTAAATTTAGTTTATCCCAGACATTTGGTTGATTTACTCATACAGGTAGGGCTAAATTTGGATGGGCCAAAATGGTCTTAACTAGGAGTAGAAAAATTAACTAGATTGCATACTAATTGAAATCAAACCATATTGATGAAGGAGAGTTCAAAATACCTTTTAGCGACAATCATATGATGTTTAATTAATAAAGCTAGAAAAAAGAGATCAAAAAACCTAATAGCAAACTTTACTACAAATTCAGTAAACTCAAGTGAAATAAAACTATTCAACTATCTAACTGCTCTCTTGATTAGAGTTGTTTCTATAGAAGGAATTAACTTCTCTGTCATGCTCCTGCACAACACGTAAGGTCTCCATACACTCAATAACTTTTTTCACATTTGGTTGTTTCTTTGGTTTATCTTCTATATACTGTATTGCAAGTTGTGTGATTATAGTTCCATCGAGAGGATCACCCACAAGATTTTGGTGGACAATTGAACGCCGAGACTTGAACTCTCTCAAAACCCACATATTAATTGCATCGTCTCGGTCTCTTGTATCCACACCAACTCTTATGTTTATCAAATTTACGAGCAAAATATCAAAGGCAAAGACATCAGACCTAACAGTAAACGTATCTGTAAAGTATTTGACAAATTATAAAAGAAGAGACAGAGACATGCAGTTGCAAAAAAACGGTTGAGGAGATGATTATCAAGGAAATCAGGCTGAGGAAAAGGAATTATTTTTTTCACCATGCATCTGCACAACCCGTAAGCCCTCCATAATCGCAACAACTTATTTCAAATTTGGTCATTTTTTTTGTTACTCTTTTACCCAATGTTTTATAAGTTGTATACAACTCTATCAAAAGGACCTTGGTGGACAGGTGAACACCGGACTTAAAATTTTGGTGGACAAGTGAACACCGGACTTGAACTCTTTCAAAACCCATAAATCAACTGCTCTCTCTTAGAGATTTTCATACTCAACAATTATTTTTCTTATAAAGTTTAAGAGCAAAACAACAAACACAAGAACTAAGTTTAAGAGCAAAACAACAAAGACAAAAACTATCGTATCTAACACTTGACATATGTGGAAATCAACAAGAAAAAAAAATATAATATATAAATTATACTTCAATAACCTTAAGCTCTCCCCAATTACATATCTGCAAGTTATCTCACATCAGATCAAACCTGAATATTACTGGTTTGTTGGTCTTATATTTTAAAATAAAACAACAATCTCAAGCTAATGTAACAACCATTAACATAACCTTAGATATAGTTGTAAAAAAATAATTTATTTATAAGAATAATTAAGTAATTTAATTCAGAGTTCTAAAATATTTTATATAAAAGTAGATAAATTTTCATTCATTTTCCAAGGTGGACTTCTTAACACTCCCCACACGCCTAGACTTCATTACCAGTATCTCCCATGTTTGAATTTCTGCCTCCATTCCCCACCGAAAGCACACAATCAAAGATGGTAAATAAGAATAAAGTTGTATTTACATTAGCATAATCCATTTGTATTCAAGTATAAACATGTTTATATTGTTGATTAGTTAATATATGAATATTTTGATATCAACAATGAATATTTTTTTTTCATTGTATTCCATGTATGTATATTTAATAGTTGTATTCATTGGTATAATAATTGTTTTTAATATATGTTTAATCAAATTGTTTGTATTCTATGTATTTTTTAGTTTCCATTTGCTAAATGTATACATAATATAGCAGTTCTCAATTTCCTGTCAAAGTATCTATAAAGTATACGGTAATTAAATTCATACATTTTGATAAATATGTATGTAGAAAAACAGATAGTATGTATTAAATCGTTCTATTGAATCAGCACATGCAAATACATACAAATCACAATACATCTCATGATTTTGAAGGAAAAGCTTAGGTGCAATTTGATAATTTTAAGGATACATGTTTTGGTGTATACATCCGTACTTTATTATAATGGAAAGTTTGGATGGTAGTCTAATAATGGAAGTTTGTGAGTTCAAGGGATGTAAATCATGTAATTTAAGTGCTTGCCATTTTAAAGACAAAAACACCTTAATTGGTGCATTATAATTGTAGTTGTATACAAGTATATAATAAAAACTTACCTTTTATACAATGAATACAATCGGATATCCACCATAATTTTAGCTACGTAGCGTAATTAATATAATTATAGCTACTCAATTACATAAACTCTTAAACTATAGTCATTTCTGCAAGTTTCTCTTATACAATTGCTTCTTTTGTATATGTATAGCGAAATATACATATTAATAGTCATAGCAAACGTAAAGTTTGCTATGAAGCGCAATTATGCAAACTATAGATAGCATACAAATATGATTTTTATGTTTGCTATATGTGAAAGTTGCTCTTGTTCAAATTGATTGGGTCAATATGTTTTTAAGCTTTCAACATATAGATCTGTAAAATCTCAAGCATGTTCCAATTGATTCTGATGTATATAATTAACAAGAGGTGACATTGTTTAATTTAATGTGACTCATAATGAACACTTGAAAACATGCGCAAAAAATTCTTCTTAATATTTGAGGTGAAAATTTTTAATACCTTATATGACAATCATATGGTGTTTAGTTCATAAAGCTACAAAACGAGATAAAAAAACCCGATAGCAAAACTTACTACAAATTCAGTAAACTCAAAATGAAATAAAACTATCTATCTATCTAACTGCTTTCCTAATTAGAGTTGTTTCTATAGAAGGAGTTAACTTCTTTGTCATGCTCTTGCACAACACGTAAGGTCTCCAGACACTCAATAACTTCTTTCATATTTGGCCGTTTCTTTGGTTTATCTTCTATACATTGTATTGCAAGTTGTGTGATTATAGTTCCATCGAGAGGATCAAAACCTGGATCACCCACAAGAGTTTGGTGGACAACTGAACGCCCAGACTTGAACTCTCTCAAAACCCACATATTAATTGCATCGTCTCGATCTCTTGTATCCACAACAACTCTTTTGCTTATCAAATTTACGAGCAAAATACCAAAGGCAAAGACATCAGACCTGACAGTAAACGTATCTGCAAAGTATTCGACAAATTACAAAATAGGCTAGAAAGAAGAAAAATAATGGCGATAAAGTGGCGAGGTAGACACAACCAATGAAGCATTCATTTTAAACACAACACTATATATATATATCAATTGCCTCATTTCCTTCTATTTTCTTCCACATCCCTTCATTTCAAACATAACATCAACTTCTATTAAAACAAACATTAGGAAATTGAGGAGAACAACAGCTACTGAGATCAAATGTCTCCAAAAACTTCTAAGGAAATAAAATTGTAGGCACCTCCAAGAGAAGATATTACTTTCAGTATCATGTGACAATGACAGCAACAATAATGAAAATAACACTATGTTTTTTTTTTTTTATGACGGTGTTGTCTGTACCAGCGTTCCTCCACTATTTCCCTGGGGTACTTGTCTACTACCAAGTACCAGGTAGGACTCTGTCCACCACACCATTTGATGCAACAATGAAAGTAACACTAATGTTATATTTAGTGGAAACAAAAGAAAAGAACTAGAACCATACCAGGACCATGTGTAACGAGGGATCCATCAATGTAGCCATATGGAGCCAATCTAAAATCCGATGCACTGATTTTATTACGTAGAACCCCTCCAACTAACAGACCAAACTCATACATAATTGGTGTGAAATCCTGGAGATATAAAACACAAAATATCTTCAGTCACACAAATTACTGAATACAACATAATAGAATTAATTATCTTGACAACCAAAAATATTGAACAACAAAATGTACCTGATCAACCATAATGTGATATGGAGCAAAGTTGCGAATGAGGTATTTCCTATCATGCAGATAATTAAGCAAGCGAGCTAATGTAAGGGCTATCTTAACCCTCTGCATCCAATTGAAGTCACCTGAACAAGCAAAAGCAGAACATCTCCTACTGATTCACTGCATATCATGTCTCCATTGCCACCCCACATTTGTATTCCAGTAATAGCTACTTTGCCTTATTAACGACTACAGTTCCTTAAGATACATATAAGAGTAGTAGAAGTGCACCTCGAGTAATTAAGTTCTCCAATGTATCATGTGGATTTAGATCATAAACGATCCCCAGGGTCTTTTCCCCGCGACAATATCCAATCACTTTCACTATGTTGGGATTTCCCCTAATCCTTGAAGCTTGCAAAATTTTGAGTTCATTCTAAACAAAGAAAACAGTTGGTTAAGGTAAGGAAACAAGAGAATGAGCTTACACAAACACAGACCTCAAATCTTTCCAGTGTGTCGTCGCCTGTATAGTGATACACGTTTTTATTATCATATATAATCTTGACAGCAACATCCTTGACATCAGAACCAATGTGCATCTTCCCACGATAGAGCTTTCCTAACTCGGTGACTCCAACAAGATTTTCGGAAGAAAATTGACTGGTAAACTGGTTCAGATCCTCTGGTGTGAGAACATGATGATCGTGCTCCATTATGAAATCCTCACCCTCATCATCACTCTCAGCGGGGCATTTATTTTGTCTGAAAGGCAGACAGAAGCATTCTGTCAATAAAGTAGTGAATCCTGTACATAAACAAGCGAGAAAGGGGAACTCCGTTAGAAACAACAATACTATATCATCTTAACTACATACTATGTATGGTATATTCTTAGATCAAATCAGATGGTATATCATTGCAACCCTTGCCAAAGTAGCTATTCAGTATCCAAAAAGCTTCATCCATGTTCAAATCAAAGATTGAAAATAAAAATAAATTGCAAACAATCAAAAAATAGAAATGTAATTCTATATACAGACGATCAAAGATACCACAAACTAACAATTATTCTTTAAAAAAAAAAAACCCTAGAAAAGCAAATACATTAAGATAACTAGATAGAGATCGAAGTTACCGACCAGCAGCCCACCGGCGAGGCATGATTCTTTTCCAGTCCAATTACAACAATGGGAATTACGGGAGACGCGGAATTTAGGGAATGGGAATCAGATTTTTTTTTAAAATATTTTGAGTAACTTCTGAAATTGTCAAATCAAGCTTTTGGAAGAATTTGACACGAGATTAAATCGTATTGATCACGTTGGGTCTTAACCCATCTTTAGCCTATTTTTGTGCAAGTAACTTTTTGAGTAAGTCAATAAACCACTACTAAAAAAATCAGTGCTTAGCGACCACAAAATTAATTTTGTTGAGAATATAACAAGTAAATTTTTGGTTTATCAATATATCACGGATTGTCGATGAACTATTTATTAGCGCGAATAATTGGCACCTTAGTATTCCCTACCGATTTAACAGCAGAAGGGTTACGGCAAATTGAATTAATTTTGAAAGACAGATATAGCAACGAAAAATCTGTCGTTACCTCTTTAGATTAGTGATATTGGGAAAGATATCAAAATCTTTATATTATTTTTTTCTATAGTTGTTGAGTTTTTTTATAGCATTGCTTTTAAGTGCACATAATATTTGTTTAACAACTTCAAAGTTATCTTTCAACTACTGTGACTTGTTGCAACTTCTCTTCGACTGCTGCGACTAGTAAAAGTAAGTTTGATACTGGTTCTTCTTCTCTTTGACTGCTGTGACTAGTGAAAGTAAATTTGCTACTATTTTTTCGTCTCGGTTTTCATTACTATTATGTACTCAACTTCACTGTGGTGGGATGAGTTACTCTTTCTTCTCATGTTCTTTTCTACTTTCTTCAATTCTTAGATGTGCTCTAGTTATTTTTTTCTTCTTCTTTGCAGTTTTCTTGAGCTTTTTTTCAGCTCTGTAATTTTTCTCTCACAGGTCTCAATTCTGTAATTTTTTTTCTATAATTTCAGTTCTTGAGTTTTTTATTACCATTGGTTTTAAGCACATGTGCATTGTAAATTTTCTCTTGATTTCACTAAGTTACTTGCAACTGTAAAACATTTCAGGTACTTTAGCCATACTTTAGGAATCAGTAAAGTCATCTTTGAATGAAACTTCTTGACATGTCAATAAGGAGGGGTGATTGTGTGCTACTTATATGAATTTCATTACCTTCTATTCATCTTTTTGTATAATTATTCATATTTTAACAATTCAAAAGTAACTAAAATAATTCACGAACATAAATAATATGAAAAAAAATATTAAGTTCAAGCAGTAATAGGACCACCAAAGAAATTATTACTCACTTCCGTTCTTTTTTACATGTCTCTTGTTCACACTCACTTTAAGAAACTACTCCCTCTTATATTTCTTTTACCTAACTGCTAAGAAAATATTAATTGGAAATAAATTTTAACTATTTTTATTTCATCCTTATTTATATCTTAAGTTTTCATATTTCTTCATGAAACATTCACTCTATTTATGTTTCATTTTGAGGTGTTTGCGTCTTCAACAATAATTACTAGTAAGGGTAAAATAAAAATTTGAGATGAAGAAAATATTTATTTTACTAAACTATCTTTACTAATTATACTTTTAAAAATCTAAGCTTGACAATTACCACTTATTCACTTTTACTTGTCCACATTTACTCTGGAGGTCACATATGAACGGATCGGATCAAACTTAACAAGATTGTGTGCTACTTTGAAATCTGATCATGTTGAAGAAAGAGAGTTCAAATAAAACTACCCAACTATCAAGGATGCACATTAATTTCTTCACCATGCTCCTGCACAGCACGTAAACCCTCCAGACGAGCAACAACTTCTTTCATGTTTGGCCGTTTCTTTGGTTGCTCTTCTACACACTGTTTTGCAAGTTTTGTGATTGCAGCTCCATCAAGAAGATCAAAACCTGGATCACCCACAAGAATTTGGTGGACAAGTGAACACCCAGGTTGAACTCTTTCAAGGCCCATAAATCAAGTGCCCTATCTAAGGGGTTTCCATACTCAACAACTCTTTTGCTTATAAAATTTAAGAGCAAAACACCAAAGGCAAAAACATCAGACACTGAACGTATCTGCAAAGTATTTGACAAATTACAAACATGGTTATAGGACAATGAAAAGAAGCTTTAGCATGACAGATAAAAGTAAGGCAAACAAACTTGACTTCTCAAGTAAGCAGCACATGATTTTTTATTTTATTTTTCGAAATGTAAAGAAAGAAGCACATAAAAATCTACAAGAATAAAATGAAACCACAAAATGAAAAGAGAACATTAAAAAATATATTGCATAGTGTAAATCAACAAAAAAATATAATATATAAACAATACTTTTATAACTATATGCTCTCCCAAACTACACATCTGCAAGTTATCTCACACCAGATTAACCATAAATATTACTGGTTTGTGAAACTCAAGGGTATATTCATTTAAACTGGAGAGGAAAGGAACGGAAGAGAAGAAAGGAGTGGGAAGCATGATTCTTTTGAAACACAACGGGTATGTAATCCCACAAGTGGGATCATTTAGGGAAGGTACGATGCATGCTGACCATACCCCACTCCTCCGCATACCTTTGTGGTGTAACGAGGTTGTTTCCATTTAAACACAAAACTACACAAATCATTTGCCTCTTTTCCTTCTCTTTTCTTCTACGTCCCTTCATTTCAAACATAACGTCAACTTCTATTAAAACAAACATAAGGAAACTGAGGAGAACAACCACTCCAAGAAAACTACTGAGAAAAGTCTCAAAAGGACTCTTAAAGAAATAAAATTATGGGCGACTCTAAAGAAAATATTACTTTCAGTATCATGTGATGTGACAATAAAATAACACTATTTTTTTCTTTTCTTTTATGAAAGTGTTGTCCGCACCACAACTTATGTGTTCCTCCACTATTCCATTGGATACTTCTCTACCCCCATAAGTAGGAGTAGCGGGTAGCATACTCTGTCCACCATACCATTTGATGCAACTATGAAAGTAACACTAATTCGCTAGTGTTGTATTTGATGGAAACAAAAGAAGAGAACTCGAGTCATACCAGTACCATATTCAAATATGGATGCATCCATGTAGCCAGCCATATGGGGCACATCTCAAATCTAATTCATTGATTGTATTACCCAGAACCCCTCCAACTAACAAACCAAACTCAAACATAATTGGCGTGAAATCCTGGAGAGATGAAACGCAAAATATCTTCAGCTAAGGTAAGGAAGCAAGAGGATGAGCTTGCACTTACACACAAACCTCAAATCTTTCCAGTTTGTCGTTGCCTATATATTTAAACACCCTTTCATCTTGACAGCGACATCCTTGGTAATTAATATCACCAATGACCATCTTCCCACGATAGAGTTTTCCTAAGTGGGTGACTCCAACAAGATTTTCTGGAGAAAATTGGGTAGTAAACCGACTTAGGTCCTCCGATGTGAGTTTATGAAGTTTATCCTCATCCTCAGTGGGGCATTTCTTTTGTATGCAAGGCAGATTGATGAATCCTATATTTGTTATAACAGAAATTCAGGAGAAACAACAATACTATGTATAGTATAATCAATTTATTCAGCTTCATCAATTCCATGTTTGAATTTCTGCCTCCATCCCCACCGAAAGCACACAATCAAAGATTGAAAATAAAATTAAAAAAATGAATCTGTAATTCTATATACAATCGAAGATACCACCAAACTTACAATTATTCTCGATAAAAAAGGAACCTAACTAAACCAAAACCCCAGAAAAGCAAATACATTAAGATAAGTAGATAGAGATGTTGGGTATGTAGCAAGAGTTAATGGGAAATGGAGGGAAGATGAAAGAGGAACTTGAAAAAGTTGGGAACTTGAAAAGTTGAGAACTTGAAAAGTCCTCTTATGCTTTATTGAAAAGACATTTGTCCCTCATCGGTGGTGGAAAGAAAATATAAGAGTTTAAATATAGAAACACTCCTATTAATTGTTTAAAGGGTTGGAAAGAGGGACCCCCTCGCGCCGTCATCGTCGTCGCTCGCTCGGCTTTGAATTTGGATTCTCAAAACTCCTCAGGGACTAGCATTATCTCAATCTCATTATATTGAAAAAGTATTGGATAAGTTCAAGTACTTGAATTTCAATGTTGTCAAAACTCCAATTGATTTAAGCTTTACATTTCAAAAAAATGTAGGTGAAAGTGACTCTCAATTGGAATATGCCAGGGTGTTGGGAAGTTTGATGTATATTATGAATTGTACGCGACCAAATATAGCATGTGCTATTAGCAAACTGAGTCGGTTCACTAGTAATCCGAATCAAATTCACTGGATGGCAATGAAACGTGTGTTGGGTTATTTGATGCATACACAACCACTATGCTTTGCATTATAATAAACATCCTGCCGTTATTGAAGGATATAGTGATGCAAATTGGATCACCAGGTCAAATGAAGTAAAATCCACAAGTGGTTATGTGTTTACACTTGGTGGAGGAGCAGTCTCTTGGAAATCATCCAAACAGACATGTATCGCTCGCTCCACAATGGAATCTGAATTCATTGCCTTAGATAAGGCCGGTGAAGAAGCTGAATGGCTCCGGAATTTCTTAGAGGATATTTCATTCTGGCCCAAACCTTGGGACCTATTTGCATACATTGTGATAGTCATGCAGCAATAGGTAGGGCAGAGAGCGTTATGTACAACGGGAAGTCTCGTCATATACGACAGAGACATAATACCGTAAGACAACTCCTCTCTAGTGGAATTATCACAATTGACTATGTGAAGTCAAGCGATAATGTGTCAGATCCACTAACGAAAGGCCTAGTGAGAGAGGCAGTTGAAAGATCATCTAAGGGAATGGGTTT